TATTGTTTTCTGACTTTTGAAAAAATGTATTTGTGTGTGACAAAAATTAAATTATAAAGCATACTGCATAACTTTACCGCTATGGTTGATCGTTGCTGGTTCAAATAGAGGAGGAGGAGGAAGACTAATCTCTGAGGCACTGTTCACGTTTCCCGGCCCATCTACACACTACCTCACCGTTCATTTTTTCTTTCTCAGACTTTTCTACCTCGGAGTGGTGTCACGTTTTCTTTCCTCCAATTACATCAGCGCTGATGTCGTGTATTCTATATTACACAACGACACAGCTTTCAACGACACCAGAACACGTAGAACTGGCCTCTAACCCAAACCCCCCATCCATAGCCTCAGCCTAGGACGCACGAAAGACTCTTTTTGAAGAAAGCAGTACAATGTGACACCCCTCTGACCTAGATCAGACTGAGAAGTGTGTAGATGTGTTGGTAAACGTGAACAGGACTATCTTCAAATGAAAGCCTCCTTCCACAATAGCATCAGGTAACTGTTGAGGTATTCCTGGGATCCTAGGAAGTGGTTCGATTGATGGCCCCGCAGGTAACAGTAGTTTGTCTGCTTCTTCTAACACTTGAGACCTTTGCTTCATTCACATACTCACTCCTTTAACCGCACCAACCGACTTTAGTGCAGCTTTCTTCTTTAAGATAGTACAGACAGTAAATTTTAGCCATGACGTACTGCATGTCAAGACCAGAAACACTAACACCAATCTCATGTTTAGTGGTTACTTCCATTCTAATTTCTGCCTCAAAAAGCCATTGCAAAAACAAACAATGTTACACCGAGCAAACTTGAGTGCAAGGGATGCTGTTGGTTAACCGATAACATGGATTAAAAGCTATGTTTGTGCATTTCGATGCATTGTTCACGGGTAGGGTCAAAACGTGTTTGGCGATTGTGTTCGTGGCTAGTTTTGATTGTGACGAAAGGCCTTCATGACCCGAAGTACATTTTTCATCAATAGCGATATATATATATATATATATATATATATATATATATATATATATATATTATATATATATATATATATATATATATATATATATTGTTATCGCCCCAAGTCGACGGCTGGTACTGTGATGCACTTTTTAGATGTCTAGCAACCTGACGTTGACTTTCCACTGACTGCAATACGCCAATAGCAAGATTCCTTAAATTGATCGATATAGGCGTCATTCGTGACTGCTCGAAAATGAACTGAGTGTTTTGGTGTAGCATTATCCTTTTATAGGGTTTGAGTTGCGAATAGTGTTCACCCCAAACTGTGTTACTTCCTCGTGCGCACATCATGTGCTATGCTCAAAAACATAGTCTCAAACACAGCTGACCACTGCGCTGTAACGATTATAAAAACCCATGTAATTCAAGCCCACATGTCCACTGGGCACGGTTAAAAACATCTGAGACTGCTTTTCACATGCCCGAGTACGATATTTTTACTTACAAACAAATAAAAAAAAAGCACTGTCGGATAACTATGCGTTTCTTTTTTTTTTTACTTTCAATTTTGTGGAAGTCGCAGCAGCAGTGTTAACATGCCAGTTTTTAAATTTCTGTGTGTGGGAAATCTGTTGGTTGTACCCATTGGCTCTCAGGCCGACGTAGCCTAAACAAATACCAGGACAAGTAAAGGGAAGAATTGTCGGCCGGCATGATGCGAACCACATTCCCTATAAAACGACTGTAAGTCTACACAAATACTCCACTAGCATGAAAAGGTTCTTTTACTAACCTTATAGTCATGATTCGTGTTAGTTACGTAACAAGTTTTGCATTTTTATTACTTATCGTGATATACGGAAGTGAATCACAGACAGTTGGCCAGTTAGTGAAAATGTATTTGGAAGCTGGGGAGATGTGATTTTTTAGATGAATTATAAGAATACCCTGGATAACAGATAACAGATAACAGATAAATAGTGTAAGGGTGTCTTGAAAGAAACTCACTCACGAAAAGAACTGATTTTTCACATCAGAAAGAGACAATCTACATTCTCAGGTCAGGTGAAGAGAAGGAAAAAACTTGAGTACATCGTAACAGCAGGAAAGCTGGAGGCGAGAGGCAGAGGAAGACCTAGAAAAAAGATGTAGGACAGTTTCACAGCATGGCCTGGAGGATCATCTGTATCAGAGTTTATTTGAAGTTTTCCTAAACACAAGGTTGTGGATAGACATGACTACCAAAGCCACACTGCTTGGACTTTAAGAAGAATAATAATAAGAAAATCCATCGGGCAATAGAACATACGTCTTACAGATCTGAACATCGAGGAGAATTGACCCATAAACTGCATCTTTCCCGAACTCAATACTTTCCTCTGTCTCATCAATGTCTTTAAAACTACAATCAGCCATACTTGGGCTGAAGTTACAAATCAGTGGCTGGCTAGACTTTATTCCCACACAGATCTCTCCACCTGTTTGTTTGTTGCCTATCCACAAACTCAACCCAGTGAGTTTATTTGCCCAGTCAACGTGTGCAATCCTGTCTCTTCTGTTAAAACCAGCAGCGTATCTGAAGCCTGTCTCTTACAAAATAATTTGTTTTATGTGTTTCTTGTCTCTTTAAAAATGGACAGCCAGAAAAAAAACTTTCAATAAATATAGCTAATTCAGGCGTTTTATAATCTTTTAAGATTTGGAATTCTTGAAGATTTAACAAACAGATGACCAAATTGAGCAATAATAACAATGATTTAAGAAAGAGCTGCTTACTTGCACATAAACAACATACACATGTGTATGTGTGTGTGTATACACACATACACACACACACACACACACACATATACACACACACATACAATATATATTATATATATATATATATATATATATATATATATAGTTTCTGTTTCTCGCCCGTGTAGGTTTCAGAGTCTCATTGTTGGGGGTGGGGGGAGGGGGGGGGGCAAGAATAAACCCCGCTCCCCCCCCCCCCAACAAACATGTCGTAGGAGTCGACTAATTGAGAGGTTTCCCTCGAAGTCGGATTGAATCTGCTCGATCTGCAAGGAACAACCAATTGCGTACAAATTAGCAAGTAAAGCTAATGCACAGGCAAAACTCTGGCCCTGGCACAAAGTCCAAATGGAAGAACAACCAGAACTTTTCGATGGAGCTTACAACCTGTGATTAAAGAAAGGAAGAAGAGGACAAGTTTTTTTTTCTGAAATATATCGTTCCTTTCCTGAACACTTTCCTTCACGGCAGTGAAACCTGGACTCTTTATGCTCCTGAAAACAGGACTGAAAACTTTCCCGATGTGTTTACGAGACACATTTCATGGTGTATTCTGGCAAGACTTTGACCCAAACGAATTCGCACTCGAAAGAGCAGGAATGCAGACAATGTACTGTCTACTGAAGCAAAGAAGCATGTGCTGGTTTGGATATGTCTCCCTATGGGGGATGGTCGCATTCCAAAGGATCTCCTTTGCGGTGAACTAAAAATATGAAATAGATCTGCTACAGGGTGACCTGTTTTCTTTCTAAGGGTGGAAATCTACACGTTGGCAGTGTTGCTTTGACTGAAATGTGTATCAGTTTTTTTTTTATATTATTTAAAGACCTTCAGTAAGCTCTCTGATCCCTTTTTCGTCGGCTTCTATAAGAAGCATTTAATACCTTTTTTTTTAAAAATTATTGCTCCGTATAATTCTAACTAGATTGTGTGTGAGTGAAAAAAAGAGAGGGTTGTGGGGGGTCTTAAAATTTTGAATAACAAATCAACAGATAGCAGAATGACTTGCACACCAAACTTTATACATCAACACCGAAGCAATCAGAAGTGGATACTAAAGGAGCATATGTGCCCACATCTTTGATTCCGTAAAGGCATGTGCCATGCGGCTAAACAATTTGTTAGTACCCATTTAGTAAATGTCAAAAAGAAATGCTAACATAGTCGTAAAATGTTTTCTTACCCAAGCTGCACAGTTTACTACTACACACGAAGGTAAACTAACGGAAAAACTGAAAAAACCCAAATTTTATCCATTTCTTTTGAATAGACAGAACATACTTTTTAGAACATTAGTAAAAACTGAATTAACCGGTCGTTTGTGCCTGGGTGCGAATTTTCGTCCCCCTGCGTTAAGATATAAAAGTCCATTCCAGAAGTTTTGCCTTGTTTAAAAAAGTATATAATTTAATAACCGATCGGTGTAAGATGTTGAAATTTGATAAGCAGCCTGTTAATATTCAAGCCTTTGTGAGATTTAAAAAATATATAACATATGTATATATATATATATATAGAAAACAAGCATCTAGTTTTCATTTTGCTTCATTTGTAGTATACGCAAAAACAGACATGGATTCAAAGCAAACAATCACCATACTTACAGTTAATTAAGGGGTTTTACTCTCA